GTCTTCTGGCTTCAGGTCTCTCCGCGCGCCAATCCATTCTATACTCAGCTGTCAAAGCTATCTTCCTAAAGCCATCTGACCACGTCATTCCCCTCTTCAGTTGACTCCCATGGCTCCCCATTGCCTCCAGAATCAACTACAACATCCTCTGTTGGCTTTTCAAATCCTTCATCGTGTGGCCCCTTCCCACCTTTCCAGTCTTCTCATCCCTTCCTCCCCGGATGCCATGACCCTGGCCTCCTCACCTTTCCTTAACACCGAGTACTTCTGACTTGGGGCATTTTCCCTGCTGTCCCCAAAGCCTGGCACCTCTGCCTTCTGGCTTCCCTGGTTTCCATCAAGTCTCAGCTAGTCTGCGATGCTTTTGCAAGGAGCCTTTCCCCGTCCTCCCTAGTCTAAGAAGACTTCCCTCCATTTATTCTGCCTGCATCTTGTTTGTACATAGTTGTCCACGTGTTGCGGACTGTAAGCTCGAGGGCAGGGTCCAGCTTTTTTACCTTTGTATCGGTGCCTAGCACATAGTAGGTTCTCAATCAATGCTAGCTGACTGACTAACTGCCAAAAGGATTCACATAACAAGGAAGACTAAGAGTTTCTGTTGGAATTCTGCCAACCCGCTAGCCTTTGCTGTGATTGGTGCTTTTGTAAGAGACTCTAGATCCATTTTTGTATATCAGTATTAAACTACACAGCCCCTAATAGCAATGGGCTGTTTGGATGCCTGGGCTGTAGACGGAGCAGCCAGTTATGCGACCTCATTTCTCTGGGTCAGACGAGGACCAGGGACTCATCGGGTGGCGAAGAAGCAACAGCGAATGCGTTCTTGCGTGCCCCAGAGGAGGGCCTCTGTCTCTGCGGTTTGCATATTAGTCACCAAACCCTGGAGTCTGCCTACGGTGGGTAGGACTGGGATTGTGTTTCTTGAAATTCCTCGCCCTATTTTTCTTTCCCTTCATCTTCCTCCCTAAATCAGTCCCTGCCTGTAAGAGAAGGGGGCTAAAAAGATGAGAAGAGGAAATAGAGAAAGACAGATGTGAAATGTTAGCGGAAGCAGGGGAGGATGAGAGGAAGGAAAAGATGAACAGGAGAAAGAAGGAAATGGCCTGGGGAGAGAGGGAGGAGGCTGGGAAATTAAGGGAAGGGGAGACACTTATCTGCCACTTATTAGCTGTGTGGCTTTGGGCAACTCACTTAACCTCTCTGCTCTCAGTCTCCCAACTCTGCATTTCAATGGACTGTTCCCCATGCCTAGAATGTTCTCTGTCCTTGTCACCAAATCTTGGCTTCCCTGGATTCTTTCAGATCTCAGCAAAAATCCTGCCTTCAGCAAGAAGCCTTTCCCAGCTCCTGACTCTACCTGTAATGCCTTCTCTCTGAGACTACCTTCAGCCTACCCTATATATGTCATCGTTCAGTCATTCTCAGTCATGTCCGACTGTCTGTGACCCCATTTGGGGTTTTCTTGGCAAAGACACTAGAGTGGTTTGTCATTTCCTTCTCCAGCTCATTTTACACATGAGGATACTGAGGCAAACAAGGTGAAGTGATTTACTCAGGGTCACACAGCTAGTAAGGATGTGGAGCCTGATTTGAACTCAGGTCTTCCTGGCACTCTGTGCACTGCACCACCTAGCTGCCCAACTACACACACACACACACACACACACACACACACACACACACACACACAGAATGTATATCTACATACATATACATATACACATACATATATGTACATATATACATACATACTGAGTGTGTGTATGTTTGTACATATATGTATATATACCGTGTATATATATGTATATGTATTGATGTATGATTGTGTGTGTGTATATAGATGTACATATGTATGGATATATGTACGTATATACAGATGTGTGTAGGGATGTGTGTGTATATAGATATACATATATATCTTATTTCTAGAGAGCTGCTATTGACTCCCCCACCCCCACCCCCATTAGATTGTGAACTCCTTGAGACAGGGACAGTCTTTGTGTCAATGTTTAATACAGTGCCTGGTATATAATAAGGGCTTAATAAATACTTATTGACTGACTGAGTGTGAAATGCAGGAGGATGACCCTTAAGGTCCCTTTCTGCTCCAAACCTGGTTTCCTTTGATCCTATAATGTTGGGTGAGGATTACAAGAAATATAGATTTTGGCTCAATGTGTATTTAGCTCAGTACATGTCACATGACAAATGACAATTAAAGCTATGTAATAAGGTGGTGCAGTGGATAGAATGCTGGGCCTGGAACCAGGAAGACCTGAGTTAAAATCTGGCCTCAGACATTCACTAGCTGTGTGACCCTGAGCAAGTCACTTCACCCTGATTCCTCAGTTTCCTCATCTGTCAAATGAGCTGGAGAAGTAAATGACAAACCACTTGAGCGTCTTTGCCAAGAAAACCTCAAATGAGGTTGGGAAATGATCCCAGAACAATAATAATGTGATCTCCCCATTCCCAGGAGTATTTAAGGAGAAATTATATGGGCACTGTGACTATAGGTGGAAAAGTAGACTCGGTGACCTTGGAGGTCCATGATGTTGCGGTTCTATGACTATTTGACTGTAACGTCCAGCATATTTCCCCCATCCCCGCCCCCATGCCCATACCCACCCATCCTAATAGGGAGTGTCATTTAGAGATAAAATAATCCTGCCAGCCAGGAGCCTTGGAGAGCATCCCAGCTGAATAGTTTGGGGGCTTAGTGCCTCTCTCGCCCTCTTTCCCTGCAATCCTCTGCATTTTGAGCTCTTTCCCTCCACACTTTTTCTGGCCCTGTATTATCCCTGAAGGACACCCTGTGTGTTGCTGTCCATCAGAAGCTTTTAGCTTTCGCTATAATACCTGCAGCCTGACTTATCACAAAATAAATACCTTCGGCCTAAGGAAAGCAGGATTTTTCTGGCACTAAAAGATGGACATTTATACAAAGCAATATTAGAAAGTGTCCATCTTCCATCATCCCAGCCTGCCTTGTCTAGGAAAGACAATTTGGTGTCCAGGAAAGAGCCCTGAGTTTGGAGTAGGAATCATGGCTCTGACTTTTACTGGCTGTGTGACCTTGGAAAAGTTACTTAGCTGTTCTCAGTACAGCTTTTGAAGGCAGGTACAGGTATACAAGGGCAGTTAGGTGGTGTAGTGGATAGAGTGCTGGGCCTGGAGTCAGGAAGACTCATCTTTGTGAGTTCAAATCAGGCCTCAGACACTTACTAGCTGTGTGACCCTGGACAAGTCACTTCACCCTGTTTGCTTCAGTTTCCTCATCTATAAAATGAGCTAGAGAAGGAAATGGCAATACTTCTGTATCTTTGCCAAAATAAAATCCAAATGGCCTCTGATTTTATAATTATATTTGTTGATTAATGCCAACAGATCCCCTAAAATGGAGTTTCTGAGCAGTGACTTGTAAATCATTGTTTGATGGTTTATCATTGGTCACCCCAGAGCTAACTCATTCTTAACTTCATCCCTTTGGCCTCCCTCCTCCCAACCCCATCACAGATTCTGTACTATCTGGTTGCTAGGAGTTTCTATCTAGTGATTGTTTGGAGCCCACACAATCTTCCCATTAGAGTTTCACAGGGTCTCGGGGTTTGGAAGGAAACCTTGGAGAGCGTCTGGTCCAACCTGATCCTCACAGCATCCCTGACAAATGGTCTCCCAGACTCATGTGAAGACCTGGCCCTTTCCATTCTGTGTTATGGGGGGCAGGAAAGGTTTGTATTCAGAGTCTGGCAGGGCACAGGTAAGAGGAAGCAAGACCAGAGCCTACCTAGGGATTTCAAGGAATGGTTATAAGTCCCTTATATTGAAGTGATTCAAAGTAGACCCTTTCGGGGCAGCTAGGTGGCACAGTGGATAGAGCACTGGCTCTGGATTCAGGAGGACCTGAGTTCAAATCCAGCCTCAGACACATTTCACTTACTAGCTGTGTGACCCTGGGCAAGTCACTTAACCCCATTGCCTAGCCAAAAATAATAATAATAATAATAATAACAACAACAACAACAACAACAAAGTAGACCCTTTCTCCAGACCCCATCTTCCCTCCCTCCCACTTTTCCCACAAGAGACTTTTTTTATCCTCTCAAAATGAGACATTTTCTCATCCTCTCAAAATAGTACAGTTCAAAGGACAAAAGCAAAGTTGTACAAGCCAATGAATATGACCAAGGAGGCAGGAGAACTGGACTTGAGTTCCAGCACTGTTAGGAATTTACTGTGTCTGTTGAGGTCAGTCTATAAACGTTAATTAAGCTCTGACGTGACCCCAGCTTATCACTTCATTTCTGTAGGTTTCCTCATCTGTGAATTGGGGTGATCCAGGGTTGCCTGAGCTGGAATTCTGGAAAATATAATCTTTTTGAAAAACACTTTGTAGATAAGACAGTGCTATCTATTTGCATTTACAAGATGATGGGGACCTTGAAGTTATTTGGTGATGGGGAAAGAACACATTCACTGGGGACAGAGGACCCGAGTTCAGATCCTCCCTCTGGCTTTTACTATCTACGTGACCTTAGACCTACTGCTCTGGGCCTCAGTTTCCTTATCTGGAAAATGAGGGAGTTGGAGTAGATGACCTCTGAGATTCGTTAGAGCCCTAGATCTGTGTTCTCACGATTTAATTCTTATCTCTTGCCCTTATTACCCAAGTGACCTTGGGCAAATCAGACTCCCTGAGACTCAGTTTCCAAATCTGTAAAATGCAGGGATTGGACTAGACGATCTGAGGTCTCTTCCAACTCAGGGTCAATGATCTGATGATCTTCTCTGGGCCCCAGTTTCCTCATCTGTAAAAATGAGGGGTCTCTGAGGTCCCCTCCAGCTCTGATTTATGCCTGTGTGGCCTCAGGCAAGTTCTCCAACCTCCCTAAGCCTTAGTTTGCCCATCCATAAAATGGGAGGGCTAGGCCCAGTGTCCTCCATGTGAGGGCCCTTCCAGCTCCAGGCCTCTGATCACTCCCTCTGATTTCTTCCCTCAGGTGACCTAGTATCCAGAGCGATGCATCACCTGCAGCCCCTCCATGCCAAGCAGCATGGCAACGGCACGCCCATGCACCACAAACAGGGGGCACTGTACTGGGAGCCTGAGGCACTGTACACGCTCTGCTATTTCATGCACTGCCCCCAGATGGAGTGGGAGAACCCCAACGTGGAGCCGTCCAAAGTCACCCTCCAGATCGAAAGGTAAGCGTTGCCTTTTTTGGTGGAGGTGGGAGCGGTGAGATCACGTTCCTTGGCCATTATGGCCCCGTCCTAGGGAGGTGTGAGCCTCGGTGATGTCATCCAGCACAAATGGGTACAATGTAAGTGTACATGTGAATAGGTGTGTATGTGAGTGTGTGCATGAGTGTGT